TTGAAATCTTAATGAAATTTATATACTAATTTGTAAGTGGTGAAATTTTAATAAACGTTTTAAAATAGTTGTAAAATAACGTCTACAGAACAACACAGAAAACAAGTGAGCATTCAATGCAATTACTAGTGAAAAAAAGTTGTTGAGTCAAACAAAAAAGACCTACAGTTTTCCCAAGGAGTCTGATCCACTGGAAAGGAAATAGCTTTTCCCCAAACCCATTCACCTTGCTGGCTGCACATAAAATCTCAAGTATTTTATGGGAAAGGCAATAAATTGGAGCATAGCTCACACAACGTAACTTCCGCTATTTATTGCCGTTTACAGCAACAGTTTCCATATGCTCGTTCCCCGATCACCAGATATCTTAAGAAGTTGCCTCCCTGCAAAAGCGGTCTTATTTATTGAAATATTCGCTGCTTTATTTCGCGCAGCTTCTGGAAAAGTTTTAAGCCATTTCGATTGTGTCCTTGAGGCTCTCTCACATTGTTTCCTTTCGGGCGAGGCAAGGCAAGGCCGAGTCCTTGACCCTTGAGGGGAGGTTGAATATCCCCATTTGGTTGCAGGCATATCCAGACAAATTGTCGTAAAAATCAGCCGTAATCGTCAACATCAACCCAGTCGATTGGGCACCTAAGCCAAAGAGGAGTGCGGCACACCCACCCAGAAAAATTGGACTCACTTCGCCTAATAGAGAAATCGCAGTAAATTCTGGTGCCGCTCATGGTGCACATGGCACGTTTGTATTATCCTACTCGACTTTACAGCCAAGCAAAAATGTCGCTTCAGTTTTCGGCACAGAACGATTACCTCCTCAGTCATTAAACTCTTCAGACCATAAATAGTCCAAGCGGCTTTTTCGTTTGCCATCGGGTAATAATTCGGAAAAATGGGGAGCCATCGCCCATCTAATGGCTTGTTTTATCTATTGCTGAATTTTTTGCAGGTCCTCAGGTGAAGTGTGATGCACACTTAGCAAAAAGAACTGGAAAGAAAACTCTATTTATTTTCAGCCTCAGTATTCCGCTTCAAATTATTTCGTTTTTAGTACAGAAATAATAAATTTTTTAAGATTAAAAAAAAAAGAACTACTTTCTTATTTTGTTAAATTTGTAAGTATTAGCTTTTCTAGAAAGATTACTTATTTAGTGTCCCAATTGTTTAGTTAAAAATTAATTTGTATCTTTTGAAGTCTGATGTTTCCCATAATAAATGCATTTGTTAATAATTAGAAATTATCAAGTTCATTAACAAAAAATGTTATACCATATTATTTGATTATTAATTCTTAAGAATAAAAGGAAATAATGCAACATTAAAATAACTTAACAAAGTAAGAAGAGGCCATCAAGAAACGTCAGTAAAAATTCAATTACGCTCAAAGTGTTTCCTAAAATTTGCTGTCAAGTGTAATTGAAATCGGGCGCCGTTCGCGACACGAATTCGATTGAAAAGGTAAACAAATCAGAAACGGCAACAACGCGACATTAGCGCAGACCATTGCCATCGCCAAAAGCTGTCCAAATGGCATGAAACTATGTCGTCGGCTTGGTTCCTGTCGATGACGTCGCTCCTCCTGGCAGTTCCAAGCTGGCTTCGAGTCCTGCGAGTGGAGCTGCGGCGAGTCCTGCCGGAAGCCAAACGCAAAACATTTCTAATTTCAGCGCTGATGCTGATGAATGGCGATGGACAAGAGCAGGTGGCAACGGCAACGGAAGCGGCCAAAACGCGACAACAAGCCACCCACGTTGGTGGAGGGACCAAATCACCCAATCACCCACCCACAAAAGCACCCACCCACTCAAATGGATGGGGATTTGGGAGCGAAGGCGACTGCGGTGGGTGGCCAAATGTCAATTGTCGGGGGCAGAGATTCGCCCGTTGGGACTCCAAATGGGAATGGGAATGGGAATGGCATCGGGAATGGGATACACTGGATATACCGAATAGGAAATACCATTTGTCCAGGAGGCCTAGCGCTGTCTTGTCCCAGCAACTGAGCTTGAGGAGTGCACAGTGAAGAGTGAGTATTTCAATTCAAGGACCATAAATCTATATTTGGAATATTCTATTTTCGTGTAGCTTAACTTTAGAGGTAATTTTAATGTGTAAAGTCACATTTTTTAAGGTTTAAAAAAAAAAATCAAAATTTTTATTCAATTTAAAACCCGTGAAAAAATCGTTTATTAATAAATATGTTCTAAAAAACGACTACATCCAATGTGAGCGAATAACAATGAAATATGTGTACATTTATTTTCAGTATTAAGGGATTACAAATTATTTGTTGATTTAATAGATATATAAATACCTTTTTTGTTTAAGAAAACATTTTATTTTTCTTATTTTGCGCTGAGGAGCTTAGTCTGTTGATAGTCCAAATAAACAATTTTAAAAATAGAAAAAAATATATTTTTAGAAATGGTAATTAAACGTGTTATTTAGAGAAATTTTATACGGAAATAAAGTATTTCTTAACGTGTACGTGTGGCAATGAATGTTGGTCGGATGTCTTGAATGTTCGCATGACAGTGGCACGCATTATTGGTGGCAATGTTATGGATTTTGACTCGGACTCGAACTCGAATTCGGATTCGGGCAGGATTCGCTGGCGGCGGCGCGTGTTTCGCTGCTGTGTTCTTCGGCCGTGGATGGATACTCGTTCTCGTACTCGTAGTCGCAGATAGATGCGAGATTGTCGGCAGCAATTACCGGTGATCTGGAGTGTTTTTTATCGTCACGGCTGTTATGACAACGGTTGGCACGTATTCCCACGTCCAACTCATCGCATTCAATTTGCTTGATTTCATTTCCGTTTAGCCTTGGCTCGGCCTTCGCTGGATTTCCTTTTCTTGGGTTTCTTGCGCTGGGGGGAGTGGGGTGGTATGGCTGGTTTGGCCCGAAACTGGTCACTGGATAGTCGGGCCAAACTATTTCCATTTTGATTGGGCGCCCTGCTGCCAGCGGACTGTGATTTCTCTCGATGCCGCTGCAATTGCAGCTTAAGTGTGCAATTTGATTTGATTTTTGCCCATTTTTTGACAGGTCCTTGAGGCCTGCTGCCCGAGTTCGCTGCCCAAAAATGTAGCACCAAATTGACATTTTGTTTAATATTCTCGAGTGTGTTTTGCGCTCTGTTTTCTGCCCGCCGGGGAAGCTCGCTTTCGTTGCAGGCAGGATGTGTGTGGTGGCACCGATTGCCATTGCGATTGTGTTTGTGTTTGTGCAGGGCCAGGATATGAATTGCCGGGCGATTGGCGAAGAATTGCACTGCAAGTGGGCCACGTGGTCGATTGGCCCTGTGTTCGGGCTGGCGGTGCATTTGGCCCTCTCCTGACACCATTAAAGGATAAGTGCTCGGTAAAAGGCATGTTATCGTGTTAAATACGGTGCAAGTGTTTGTTTGTGTAGAAATTTGTTCATATCAATCATCTTTAGCCTTATAATGTCATTCAAAGAGGCGGTGATTTGTACAACAAAATGATTTGCTTTTTAGAAAATAAAGTTGTGAAAACGTCTTATAATATACTACAAAATGTTTTAAGTTATGCTTATCGTGGAGTTCTTAAATTATTTAGTGTTTTAAGCTTCAGTTATAAATGGGGTCACATATAATTTGTACTATAGACCCATTAGATCGGAAAAATATAAATAATAAGGGACATTAAGAGCAGTGGCAGTTGAACTCCATTGCCAGCGACCACAAATCCTCAACTATTTCATTTCATTAAATTTGATTTATTTGCTGGGTTTTTATTCCGTTTTGCTGCTTTCTTGTATTTTGTGCCACTCCATTTTCGGTCAAAAGGAATGCAGCTTAGTGGCCGCCCACTTTCCGAAGCAGACCTTCTTGGAGCTCGTAATGAAAACACAAATCCAAATTCAGTCCTTCAAGCGCCACGTCCTTGAGCCATAAAGCCTACTCTGAATTGAGTGGGGGAAAAGTGCGAGTATAATTTTCAGCCAAAAGATTAAAGCCATATATTTGGCTTTGGGAATGGGAAAGGGTCACAGGCAGAACGGAAAACAGAAATTAGAGCATTGAGTACTACTTTGATTAGACTTTAATTTAATATAGCTTATCAGAGCGAATAACTGGAAAATGTTAACAAATAAAAAAAACCTGATTATTAAAGACATTTGTTGTATATTTTATAGACTATTATTAAGGAGTGACTCCTCCAAAAACGTTTTTTTTAATTGGTTGATGTCGATTCTGTTTTATAAAATTAGTACAAATTTTTTGGTAGTCAATTTCTTTCCACTTTCCTTTAAAAATGTATTATTAAGACATGAGAAAAAGTCGCAGTGCCTTGTTGGTGTGTTGCAATTTCATTTCATATCACCACGAAATAAATTAACCTTAAATTGCATGCAAACCTGCTTCTACAGCGAAAAACTTTCAATGCCTTTCGTGTGGATTTTCCTCGAAATTATTGGGGGTAAAACCAATGCTATCACCCGACACTCACACACACACGCACACCCATACACACACAAGTGTCTTTGGGCCGCTTAATGTCCTTACGCATACGCAAAGTATTCACACACGAACAGCTCTGCCTGCTCCGCAATCTTTTGAAAAGGTTTTCGGTTAAAATATTTTACATATTTTTAACGCACAAAGTATGTTGAGCCTGGAGGCAGGGACGCCTTCAAGGATGCTTTACAGTGGGTGTTAAGAGGGTGGCGAAGAGGCCACCATTGGATAAGTCGCGGGAAAATAGCGTTGGGGTTGTGTGCCTGATAGTTGATAATTTCATTACGGGTTTCCTTAGTTTATTGATTAAGCATTTCATGAAATATACATGATATTCAGGCCCCCCAAAGACGTTGAATTGATGCGTATCTACGTTTATACACTATTAATTATTCAATTTTTGTGTGTTGCTATGCTGTTATATTTGCTTAACAGTTTTACATTCAGAGAGTTGGATTTGAAATCTGTATATTTTAATGCCCCAGTGAAAAATGAGTTAGTTTATCTAGCTTGCCTTTTATTTCACAGCAGTCTACACCTGCACACACTTAAACACACTCATTCAATCCTTCTTATTATATTTAATTTCTAAAGTTGCAATGGCATCTGCGAGGGGATCCCTATTTTTCGAGGATGATGTCGGAAGAGAGAAGAAGTCCGTGGTCCGCGATAGGGCATTTTCCACTCGCTATACAACCACAATGGGGATCGCATTTGGGAGGCAAACTACAAAATATGATATTCCGATCCACGACATGCGAGCGATGCTGGACAGAAATGTAAAACGACACCCTGACGATCGGAAGTATATGGGGGAATTCGATGATCAAGACAATAGTCGATTCTTCGTCTACAAGCCAAAGGATGACGACCGTGATGTGCGTCCCAAGGATCCAAGCTTCACCAAATTTAAAGTCCCCATGTAAGGTCTTGTAAACAATTAATGGTATCGTTGCTAATTGATAAATATCCCTCAGGGAAATCACCTGTAAAGCTCGTATAATAACAGATACTATTCGATATAATCGACAGTTGAATAATGAAATCGACAAACTAATTGAATACCAGAACACCGCATTGGAAGCAGCCTATTTTGTTAGGTAATACTTTTTTCTAAAATGTTCGGCTTTAAATAAAATGTTTATTTGCAGAGTAATGTCTTACACCACCCTTTGGCCACCTTATCATAGTAATTTGGAAATAGATAACACTTGCCGTTCATTTTACCGGCTGTCGAAAAAGGAGCAGAACCGCTATGACTATATTATGTCGCATGATTTTTCCTAAGGTAGCATCATCGAAGTAGTCCCTCCTAGATAAATGGTCACAGAACAATACCAATAAACTGCTTTGAAAAACTGAAATTTATTATGGCATTAATATGCGTTTTCCCCTCAAAATAAAATTAAAAACAAACATCGCAGACAAAGATCTGAGACATTTATTGCAATGCAAAATGTCGCAAAGTTCGCCTAGACTCTAAAGAAAGCGGAATACATTTGCAATTTTAATTTATAGAATAGTTGGTAGTTTATTTTTCACAACCAAGAAGCAGGCCAAAAACAGAGACATAAATCGAGGGACAGGAATATTCCGAGGATTCCTGGGTACATTCGATCTGCATAAACAGTTTCCGTTTTCGCTTCCCGGCGACTCATTTACATTGCAAGTATTGGACACTCCTTTTCGGATGTTATGCAAACTACGGGTAACTTTTGAATGTGGTCGGAGTTCCAGGAGTCGAAATTCCAGGACTCGGGTTCCGCATCCGGATCTCCCGTGTCCGAGGCTTCATCAACGCAGCCGCACTGTGGTCCGTGTGTCATTTACATTAAATATTAACCCAAAATGCTGATAACCCGCACACATTACAAAGCGTGATGAGAAGGGAAGCGGAACTAACGGAAGTGGCTGCGAAAAAATAGAAAATGAATTCTTTTTTCGCCGAGTTCATTTTTTGAAAAGCGATGGGAGACGGGCGAAGGAACCGCCAAATTTTTCACTTCACTGAATTATTCATGAATGCAATTTTTAGCCACAAATAAAATATAAGCAACTCAGACGACTTCTCGGAGGCGGTGGGATGTGCGCTGTGGGGGGCGTGACAGGGGGCGAGGCAGAGCGGAACTGCAACTGCGCCCTGTTGTGCTCCTATCGCCTCAGACATCGTTACAATATTTAGTGTAAATTAAAAAAATATATATGATAAAGGAAAAAGAAGTTACGCCAGAACTTTTGCTTGAATTATGAACTATTTTCGTCCCAAATATTTTCGGAGGTTTGCGTTTGTCGGATATTAAAGTTTTCTGCAATTTTTGAGTACAGTTATTAACCATATAGAAAGAACCTTTTAAATAGGCTGTCTCCTTAGATTTCTTAGTTTGAACTAAAATAGATATTCCTTTGGCAAACAATTTTTATAAAATTTATTTTCAGTTCGTATTCTTAAGTGTATTAAGCAAGCTATTCTATAAAAGGATCTATATTATCCTTTTTGACCAGTTTCGTTTTCCCACCGAAAATATATCAATTGCAAGACGTTAAGTATTTTTCCATCGAAAGTTTAGTCGAGCAACTTTCGCATCGAGCACTTAGATGAGACTTGCCGAACTTTTCGATTTTGCGGCAACTTAAGAATTTGAATTTCAAATCGCTCTGCCCAATGAGACCAACTTGTACTCCATGGAACAAGCTAACAAATGACTCTGCAGCAGGAAGTGCACCATGAATGAGTTTTCGGAGGCCAAAGTTTCGCAGGTGTTAAATGCATCTGCATTGGCAGCTCCACAAAAACAGAGAAATCATGCACAGCATAAGTACGTTAAGTTCCGTGGCATCAAACAACCGAGAAGAGCCATTAAAATAATCGCTGCAATAACCGCATTTGCTGCGATTCGGTTGCTTTTGTCTTTCACCTTTTTGGCAGGTGGGCAAAGGGAGGGAAATTTGCATGCATAAGTTATGCGAACTTTGGCAGTGGGACGAGCAGCTAACGTAACATATTGACACAGTAAACTGCTTAGATTGTCAAAGTTCGAGGGGAGCTTGGATGGCCCACCTCCGCTTTTCCGCTTTTCCCGCAGCATTTAAGGTGCATTCAAGTTTTTGAGAGTGCGCGCAAACAGCTGGCCAAATCCTAAAGGGATTGCCTTGCATATTTCTGTTTCTGGCCCGCTGTTTGGCCGCGTGTTAGTGTGTGTGTGCCAAGCATATGCATTCAAGTCCCGGCCAAGTCGGCAGCACGTGTGTGTTAGTGGGCTCTTGTGCCTCACGCACACTGAGGTGCTGTATCGCTGGCAAGCAAGTCCTTTCAGTTCCTTTACTTTTGTGTGCTTTTTCTCTCAGGTTTGTTTTTACTTTCATGCCACACCAAACGGGAGGTAGATAGGTGCTTTGGCTAAAGCCAGAGAGAGTGGCACAATTTCTCCAGCTAAAGCGCCAATTTTCCCAACGGCTCTTGGTTGTTCGTTTTTCACACCCACGAGAGAGGAGAGGGACATGCGCAGTTGGATAGGAGAGAAAGTTCTTGAAAGTACATTGGATAATAAAGGGACTTTCTCTTTTGGGATGGAAACTTATTTTTAAAATGGGGAAATTAGGGTTATTGTAGACCATTCTGTGTGAGCACTGCTGAAACGCAATTTTTAAATAACCACTAAGTACAATGTTACAAAATAGAAACAAAAATATGAATAAATTATTAATTAATTAATTTTAATAAAAAGTTAACTAAAAGAAAAGGTTTTAACGATTATTGATTTTAAAAAATTTCCATTGTAATAGTTTTATCCCGCCATTGCCAATTTATATTGACTCAATGGGAAACAGTTATTATTATATGATAATTCCCAGATAATAATGCCATTTTTTTTTAATTTCTCCACTGAGTAATCTTTGTATATAGTAAGCTTGACATAAATTTGACTCTATATAAGAAACCTAAATGTGTGCTTAAATCGGTTCTTCAGAGAGATTTACCCCTAACTTAATTGTTAATTCGAAATTTCGGATCACATTTCCCGATATTTTATCAAAGCCTCAGAAAAGTCGGTAAATTTGCCACCCCTTCAGGGGTGTTACAACTCGGTCGAGTTGTAACAAGTGCCGTGCCCAAAAACAACCCCTCGGCCAGCCGCAAACGAGAGCCCTCAGCTGAACTCTCTTGGCGTAGGTCGTAAACAGCTGCAGCTGATGCGGTGGCCAGGATGTTTGGTCCTTCGGCAGCGAACTCGGCAACATCAAAGACCCTGTAGCAGGCAGGAGTGTCCAGTTTAACGAGCCCTCCTGGCCAACTGCAGCTTATGTGTTCAGGTTACTTTGCCGCACATCCACTCACTCCAAAGTGCAGGGAAAGATTTATATTTTGTCACACTTACCAGAAACGACTTTGGCTGCCACTTGTTCTGTGTTCTGTAGCAGTTTGAAGGAGGCAGGGGCAGGGGGCTATTCAGGATTTCCTTCATTGGTTCCATCGCCCTGCCATCATCATCGTCAAGTATATCGTTCAGGTCTCCGCCGAGGGACTGTAGTCAGCAGCATTTACTTGCCGGCATTAATTTTCTTGCCATTACAGCTTTGGTATGCCAACGTGATACAAACAATCTAAAAGGAAATAAATTTAGTACCTATTATAAACGTAGAAATTTTTAAAGTTATTTATTAAATCATTTCTAAAAAAGTATAGAATATTTTATTGACACTCTATTTTAATATCTTGATCCACTTGAAATTATATTAAGTGCATTTTGTTACATATAGTGTATTATTTTTTAGTGTATTATGTTTATAAGTAGATCAGTATTAATAAATAATTCATTCAGCTAAAGAAAATAGTTCTGATTAAGATGTATGAAAATATCTAACTGATTTTTTTTATTTAGCATCTTTGAATCCACCGCAAACCCGTGACTCACTGGAGCATCGCTGGTGCAGTCAAACAGAAGGCAATGTAATGTGCATTTCGCCTTGGCCACTGCACCTGAGTGACTTTAAGCTGCGGCTGTCGCGACGTATGGCGCTAGTAATGATGGTTTCGGCCAACGACAGTGTGGCTGGTACAGTACTCACTCGGAAGTTCATTGATATCCGTTCCCTGGCAACCCCGCAGACGCGTTCCACTCTGCCACTTTTTATTCGCAGCTTGCAGTTGCCACTTTTCACGTTTCCCTTTGCCGGTCCGCACTTATTTTTTTGTGGGTGGAACAGGCAGCACATGACTCAATTATGTTGGATTGACATTTCGCAAAGGTTTTTCATCAATCAAGTGTACTTTTTCCGATGCTGTTACTGCTGCTTGTTTTGGTGCAACGCGGCGGATACGTAATGGCTAACAGCAATTGCTAACACTGCACTAGCAATTTATCGTTTTGCGAGCTGCTGTGGGTGTGTGTGTGTGTGCGTGTGTGTCTGAACGACCTGAGGAAATAATTTCAGCATTGCATTTTGTTAAATTTATTTACCTTTCGTTGTGGGTTTAATTTCGATTGCATCTGTGGGCTGAGCAATCTATACGTGAAACCGAGTAAGCCAAGGTGATAAATGGCATACTTTAATGTGGCTGTTCGATGCGATAGTTTTGTGTTTCCCGGCGAAATTTTTTTCGAAAATTGGTGTACCTATATAAATTGCATACCAGCAAAATAGTTTCAAACTTTAATTTCCAACACATTAATATACCTTGGTTACGGTTTTTGTAGGCTTAAATTAAAAATTAATATTCAATTTATGGGTACTGTATTTTTAAGATTTTAAAAAGGCATATTTTCTAATATCCCTAAGATGGTTAAACAGATCGACATTTCCTGGATTTATTGCCGAGTTTTACAGCGATAGTTGAAGTTTTCTTTAATCAATTCGGACAGCCCTGTTCACAAACTGGTTGTTAAATTCATCACGTAAACCATTAAATTTTCATATTTCCCACAAATATTTGTCAGCCAAATCCGCGAGAAACCCTCAACTGAAAACTTTTCACTGACTTTCCCTTTTCTTGCGACCCTAAAGTGCGCTCTAACCCGTTTTCTCTGGTTTTGGCCTCAGCAAGCCAATATATTGTTACCTAAACAAACAGAGGGGAAAACAAAAGGAAGGCAAATGCAATCACCTGTAACACAAAACTGAATACACAAACAAAACAAAAGGCGGAGGAAATATTTATGCCAGACTTTGATGTTGCCAATCGGGGAAGGCATTCGTGGGGAAAGTGGGAAAATGGGGTTAAATGGTGCAAGCGTTTCTTTTAATGCCTTGATTATGCAACAATTGAGCAGAAATATGTAAAAATTAAATGGCAACTCAAGCGATTTCGATGTCTGTGCTGAAAAAAACTTCTCTCCTTGTTTATTGGCAAATTTCGCTTTTTGTG